GCACAGGCTTGGCTTCTGCATCGCTGGTCTGAGCTGCAGCACCCTCTTCCCTCACACGCTGCGCTTCTGACATAGCACGGGTACTCACTCCTCTTACGTCCTGCGGCACTAGCGGCATTTTTCTCCAATCCCACTTCTGACACCAAATGTTACGTGCCTGACGTCACGTTCCTGACTATGCGGGCTTGGGTTACGGGATTGGATGAAATGAAACACTAATACCGGTTTTCAGACTTTCTATTGCACTTAAGTTACAGCGTCCACGGAGTTAAGTTATCGGCGTTCCTCTCCAGCAGAGTCCGGCCGACTGACACAACTTTGCCGTTCACGCTGACTTAACTCACTTAACTGACTGCACTTCACTATTTCACTGCACTTCACTATTTCACTCACTTTTCTTCTTTCTCACTTCTTCCTTTTCTTCCGAATCGCTTTAGACTTAGAACTCAACTGCCAGCGGTGAGCCGCAGTTCCGGTTATATACCCCCGGTCAGGTTCTAGAACATTCAATTTCGTTATTCTTTTTGATCGTCATGCCTCCAGAACCTTCCAATAATTTCGTTATTCATTTTTATTTATTCTCCTTCTCGCTCCTTAATTTTTCATTACTTTCACTCAAATATTCCAGAAAGTTCGACAAAACTTCCATCAACTAAAAAACTTCATGTTTACGGCGGGACTCGAACTCGGGGTCTCTGTGGTGTAATCCACACGCCTTACCGATTACACCAACTCGTGTTGACAATTCACGACGAAATTTACAATCTCTAGGCAACGTTTGACAACCATCCATTGACGTCATGATGTCAAAGAGTTTTCTGTCACAATAATGCAAACACGATGATTTCAGCTAAGCTTAATTTATTTTGCTCCTGGTGGAAACGAAGTTCAGTTTGAAATCTTTAGTGCAATAATGGCTAGATCAAAATCGTACTATCATCACAAACAAATTTTTGTTGTTGTTACTCTTGTGCGAGGTGTACTTGTTAGTTACCATACAATTTACATGTAAAAAATCCTTATCTCTATAAAAACAAACTGTTTTTACTGAACCCATCATACATTTAGTTCCTTTCTGGACTGTTTTGATACAAAGTTTAGTTCGAAATATTTAGCAACATATTAGCTACTTAAGTAGGTAGCTAGAACAACACAAACAGTCCAGACAAAAAAAAAAGTGGAAACATCCAGTCCACCAGTCCCATTCTAATATCAGGTTAGCCGTTTTGAGCTCTATGTAACTCATGTGCTCCTGGTACAATCGAAGTTTAGTTTGAAATCTTTGGTGCAATAGTGTCACATCTCGAAATTGTTCGTACAAAAAGAAACTGTGGGTGGACGCAATGATGTATAGTATAAAACGTCATTGGGTGGACGACTATTTTAATTTTAGAGAAAAGTATTTTAGTTTATTCAATACTCATGTAATGTTGAAATTTAATCGATTATTGTTTATATTTATTTCCACATTAAAAGTAATGTTTCATACATCAACCTGAGTTTATAGTCTATCTGATAGACTATAAACATACACATTACTTTTCAGTTCGATCGTGAAATTATGACTTATAAGATAGAGTCTTTCTTGTCAGTCATAATTTCGTGATCATGTTACATCGTCGTATAGATCAGGTATAGGTACGTACTTGGTTTATGAATTTTCAAAACCTGTGATAGCAGGATTACACTGGAATTGTAAACGTTGCTTGTACAAAGCGAAAAGGCTGTTCCCCATATTTTAAACTTTCAATCGTGGTAATAAGAGAAACGCGCGCTGACGCGTTCACTTGGGGGTTGATGAAAAGGGTAAGATGTTTTGGAAGAGCAATGATAGTTTGGATGGAATGGGTGGGAGTCGAAAGAATTGCCGACATTTTTACCCGCTTCAAACCCAAATTCAAAACGCCATTCAAAATAATTTACCTAACAATTTGACTGACTGCACGGTTGGTGCGGTGGCTGGGTAGCTGGCTGCCGTGCAACGTGTCGCGGGTTCAATTCCCGCACGGAACAACTCTTTGTGTGATCCACAAATTGTTGTTCCGGGTCTGGGTGTCATGTGTATTGTGTTTGTGAAATTGTATGTTAGTAGCCGCACCCACGACACAGGAGAAAACCTTAGTGTGAGGCATAGTATTTAAAAAAAACCAGGTTGAGTCAAATAAAATTTTACTCATCCTAAGAATAACTAATTTGTATAGGTAGTATACATTGTTAATCTAATGCAATTAAAGTCAAATATTTATTTTAATTTACCTGTAATATTTTCCACTATTGTATTAGTACATTATATATTGTGATTTTAAATATTATCATGAAGAACTTCTTTTATAGTACAATATTTTGATAAAAAAAGACATCATTTAATTTGTTTATGAATATGATATCACTTTTGATTTCTAAAGTGATAGTGAATTCTAAATTTTGAATACACTTTCAATTAGGAGACCAAATTGATTTTCGAAATCAATGTGTATGTTACCTTGAAAACATTACTAAATAAAAAAATTTAATATATGCCAAGGTCATAATTTTTATACATATTTACAAATGTAGAGCCGCATTTCGGTATGTTTCATTCTGAACATGCATAATGCATCGTGTCTTTTTCTATTATAGAGAATTTAACGTTTATCTGTTTTCTCCTCTATGTTTTCTGTACAATTTCCCCAGAACACACATTTACACCAAATTCATGGCATGACATAGTCATGAATCCATAATAATACATTTTGAGAGCTGTCGACATATGTATATACCTAGGTATATTCTAGTTGGTAGCTAGCTAACATACAATAGGTACTTTACGTATACAAACTTTTTAAAATTATGTTATGATATAAATTCCACAAAGACCCGCGTATAAATGTCGAAATTAAAAACAATTAAAATCAATAAAATTGCAGCATGTGGATTACGACATTCCGAAACCGCAAAAGACCTTAGTTTGTAGGATAGTATGACAAAATCAAAACATATTTAAATAGACTTACTTACTAGGCTTGCATTTAAATTTAATATAAGCTACATTTGTACTAGGAGATCATGTCACGGAGACATATCGCCCAACATTCACATGGTATGTTTCAGCAACTTTATGGGACAATGTCCCTGATCTTAGTCTTGTTCACATTTTACATACGCGCAACGTCTAGCAACTTCTCCCGAGACTTATGATATCCGTGTTGAGCGACGGAGTAGCCCAAATAATAAAAATAGGTACGGCTCAACAATATTAAAATGGTGTTTGTCGTCAACAGTCAAGAAACACAGTTGCTCAAGATCAAGGTAGAAGGGAAAACTAGTTTATCAGTTGGTTTAATGTGGAGTAGGTCGGTTACTAGCACAGTAAGACTAGTTTAGATACTTTCACTAGATGCACAGTTTAGGTAACTGGGAACTGACTGAGAAAGTGTTTTTTATGATTACGAGTAGGGTCCAGAACGAAATTGTAAAGACCGAAGAAAGTATATTGATTTAAGATTAACATTGGGAAATAAGTCTGACAAGTTATAGGATAGTGGAAAAATATCTACATACATATCTATACCGCTATGGTCCGGAGATTAAGGAGCCCGCTTCTCATGCATAAGGGCGTGGGTTCGAAACCTGGCAAGTACCAATGTGACTTTTTCCGAGTTATATGTACTTTCTATGATTATTGAGACACCTCTGACATACGGTGAAGGTAAACATCGTGAGGAAACCTGGACTTTTAATTTCTAATTATAAGTTTGAAATCGCCAACCCGCATTGAGCAAGCTTGGTAATTAATGCTCAAACCTTCTCTGTGTGAGAAGAGACCTTTGCTCAGCAGTGGGCACTTAGGCATGGGCTGATGATGATGATGATGATATCTATACCTAATATTATAAGGAGCTTAACGATTATCGTATGTATGTAGGGGGTAATCTTTGGTACCGCTGGTCGGATTTCCAGAATTCTTTGACTGATAGATAGCTACAATGTTCTTGAGTGCTATTTTAGTCGAGCTATCGGGTTTTTAAGATCCCGGGATAAATTACTTTTATACGCGTAAAGCGCAAAGCCGCGGGCGGAAAAGTTAGTGTACAAGTACCTAAGTAGTAAGTACATTAAAAAACTAAATGTAGTAATTGGGTATAAAGCCAGTAAGAAATAAATAATACTGGAGTCAGTAAGCTCAATTCGGGGTCCAGATGCTTACGTAGAGCGTCGTGGCTTGAAGTGACGTATTACGTTTATCTGTTGTTTTCTGTGGCAGATTAATAATCACGTATGCAAATTGGACCGGTATTTCCAGAAACCAATACTTTCAAATACACAAAGAATATTCTACGTTATTTAGCTAGAAAAAAAGTACTTTCTCCTATGCCATTCACTTCTTGCAATGCATCTTAATGTACTGTGTACAGCAATAAAAATATTAGATTTGATGTGATTGTTTTATTGTTATAGATCTACATACTTACTAGTAGGTACAAGTTATTTGTTCAAAAAACATCTTGTTTAATATAATGGGCACTCGATTCCCGATTTTTATCCATGTATCTTCACATCTTCACTTTTCACATGTATCAATATAAGATTGAGACCAATATTATTATTGTAGTTACTGAACAAAAACCAAAAGGTATTTTCTTTTTAGGATTAATACTTAAATTCCAAATACCCGCTCGTTATCTAAACTACACATTTCCGCAAGACACTCTATAGATGATTAGGGTCTCATAACATAACATTCAAGAAAGCCATAATAAGACTTAATAACAGCTCCAAGTCACTCCTAGTTACATAAAAGGTCACTATCCTACATTTAGACCATGTTCCGGCAATCACTGCAGTCTATGATGACGGATTCTATTCTGAGGCACGCACGCTGCGCCGGCGCAACTACGATTGTTTATGAGATCACTGGGTGCCATAACACGATAGACTTTACTGTACATCAGACGTGTTATGGGATTTATTCTCTAATTAAGTTTGATTTTATTTTCTATGTTTACCTATTGTTGTTTATTGGTTTAATTAATGGTTGTGAGACTTATTTTAATTGACTTAGTGATATCAGATAATTTATTATGCTGTGATTTGTTTACTTAAAATTGGATTGACTTTTAAATTGCTAGTAAGTATAACTTTTAGCGTTATTATTTTATGTGGAATATTTTTGAGTATGGTAGGCTAAATTAAAACAGAATAAATTGACAAAAACTTTAGACGCGACGTTACAAATAAAGTCTGTGACTATTAGAAAACGCAATTTAGAATCGACTTATTTTAAATGCACTTGAATTGTTGAGACGATTTTTATGTAATTAGGCAAGGTATAAGAACACGGTATAAGTACACTTTTTCATAGAAATTAATAGAACTCTTAGAGGTAGGGAGACAATAGAACGCCAAACAAAACCAACATAAATAAAAACTAACGAAGTAGGTACGCATTACGCATGTAATACTAGTGTTTTTGGTTTTTCACAAGAATATTAAGAATCAAGAGTTTTAGGAAAAAACACAATATGTAGGTAGGTACTCACCAGAATCCAAGTTAATCTCCAGACACCAAAATCGGTCAGTTACAAAGCGACGCAAATAATAGTTAAAAAACTATGAAACACCCTGTATATTATAAACGGGAAAAATTCAATGTACAGATGAATGTTTGTCACTCTTTCACATAAAAACTCCTGAACACACCGAGATAAAATGTGGCATAAAGATATATCACATAATCTAAAAAACACATAAGCTAGTAAAACACAAGTATTTTATGTATAAACTGTAAGTTTTAAAACAGATATAGATATTTGATAAGGAATAATAAAGTCTGTATTAAACTTTGAAATATGAGTTAATTTTAAGACGAAGAAGCGGAGTTCTTCTTCAGGTAATAAATGCACAATAATATAAGTACTAGTTACGATGTCCAAAAGATTTGAGCAAATAGACAAATAAATAAAAACACCTGCTCTTAATACGAGACACAATAAAACTAAGGAAAGGTTACATTACATAATATTATTATGATGCAAATAAAAAAAGTTGATTACTGAAAGTCTTCTTCATAGCAAAGTGCACATTCATTATAATATTTCCCAGCACTGCACTGTAATTTAACGACCTATTATTGTCTGCGTTAAAAAACAGATTAAATGCACATTAGAGATACAATTGTTTTAACATGAGAAAAACTATGAAATTAATAGATAATAACTACAGGTGCACAGAAGAACAGTTGCATTAATTGCTCGAGTCACGTTCCATTTTAGAACAAAAACTACTTAGGTATATGAATGTGTGGATCTAGATTAAAATCTAAAGGTGCCGTGGGAGATGCAATTGTTGAATAATTTATTTTTCTTAAAAATGTTATAACGTTTTCTTATAAAATAATATACATATAATGCGGTACATTACCAAAAAAAAAATAGATTCCCTCAGTCACTACTACTTATGCTTAATGCTCAAACCTTCTCCATGTGAGAAGGGGCCTTTTCTCAGTAATAAGCACTTATAGGCTGACGATAATGATGAAGTAACTACTTAAGACAAGGAATTGAAATACCTAGTACTTACGTACTTAAAAATATAAACTCAAAATACCAAGTATTTTTCTTATATCATAGCAAAAAAATGGCGTGTCTCAATCCTTATCAAGGACCTAGGGAATTTAAAATCACCGCTAGGACCTAGGGCTAATTTAAGTACAACACCTTACCAGGCCTCGAAACGAACCAGGAAATAGAACGGCTGGTTTCTAAGCAATAAGAGTCTGATAGTCCCTCTTGCCTCATCAGAGACCGAATTACAATTCAATGATTTGACTTAAAAAAATAAACTAAAAAAGCGCATATAAAAGCAATACAAACAATAATAGGGATTTTTGACAGATTCTCTTACACTCTGACCCTCACCATCCTTGACCTGATCTCTAGCTGGCAAATTTGAATATATATTATTGACTAAGTATATATGTACGACGTGTTTAGTTAACAATAGATGTCTTTAAGAATTTATTTATGTAGATATGTAATTTGTTGTATAGTTGTAATCCTTCAAAATATTTAACTACCATCTTATTAGCACAAAGTCTCTCTACTAGCGTTTTGTTAGCATAATATGTATTTAATGTACGTATATTTTCATATTGATATAGATTACTAAATGAAGGTGAAAGAACCCAAATAAATAAGTGAGGGAGAGCCATGCTTCGGTACAAATGGGTCGGCTCGACCGGAGTGATAGCCCAAAAACCGGCGTCAAACTACCACAGTGTGTCTCGCCGTGTGAGTGAGGTTCCGGAGGCCTAATCCTTCCCCTCCCCCAATCCCTCTTCATTCCCAAAATCTCCAAATCCCTAATCCCCAAAAGGTCGGCAACGCACTCGTAACTCCTCCGTCGTTGCGGGTGTTCATGGGCGGCGCTGATTGCTTAACATCAGGTAATCCGTTATGCTCGTTTGCCGACCTATCATCACATTTTGGGGATTAGGGATTGGGGAGGGATTAGAGGTGGCGAAGGATCGGGCCTCCGGTAACCTCACTCACACGGCAAACACAACGCTGTGGTTGTTTCACGCCGGTTTTCTGTGAGGCCGTGGTATACCTCCGGTCGAACCGATCCATTCGTGCCGAACCAACCTCCCAAACTTTTATTAATTTAAATACGACCATGGAATTAAATGTAAGGCTTTTGCAATGTAAGTAATCTAAATTTATTTACAATAACATCTAACTTATGTAATTACAAGTAGGTGAATGTATTTGTATAGCACAGATACATAGTGCCACTCAGAGCAGAAAGTTCAAAGCCCTTTCATAAACCAAGGTTAGTTACTTAACGTTCTCGATTCTATAATAACTTTACCTACCTAATGGTCTGGCTCGTCGATCACGTGATCATAGACACAAGTGCCGAATAAGGGGATCTCTTTTGAAGAATAACGTTTGATTAAAATTAATTTATCAACCGTTCTCTCGTGTAATCCATTCGAGGATGCTCGTCTAGTTTCAGGACATAAGAGAGCCCACAATCAAGAAATTCGTTTAAACAAAAAAGTATCAAGTACTTTTCTTTTTCGCATGCTCAGTGATACACTGAATATTAAAAAAAAATATTTAAATATTTTTAACGATTCAACCTAAATAGCAAAATAAGGAATTTCCGATTATTTTATACTGACTAAGTCTTAAGAAATTAAGGGCTGATTTTTAGGAATCAAATTGTTGCTGTCACTGTCTTATACAAACATTCTGACGCAACAGATAACTTTTATCTAATCATTGAAAAATCAGGGCTGAGGATTTTAAAGTTATACGAGTTAACATAAAGATTCCTACTAAGTTTGACAATACGTGTAGATTCTGTAAAAAATGTAGCTACATAGGTAATATTGTGTTCATGATAAACAGGAAATTATTCTGCGATTCTTTTCCAAATTCCAATTTAAATTATTGATTCTGAAGAGGATAGTACGTCGATTAATCTGTGCTTAATTTACGTAGCAGACAGCTTTAATTAAACATGATTTATTTCTATTGCTATACAAAAGCGACCATTTCACTTTGCTCTTACGTAAGCTTATAAGCAAGTGTGAGCAAGATGACTAAATAAGTTAGAATTAAGCAATAAAAGGTACCTGCTGCTCATTGCCACACTTTTAGATGGTAATAACATAACCATATAACATATTTGTACATACATATTATTATGTAGGTAGGTATATGCATAGGTATAAGTATATGTGTGTATATGTACATATTGGTTGGGGTACGGGTCAGGCGCTGTAACCTACAGAGGCCTCAGCCTTTTAAAAAAAATCCTTCTCCTGCTCTGGGCCGAGGCCGCGGTGACTCATTGCGCTTAACCCGCAACCCCGGCTGAACATCAGCCCTACAGGGCCCCGTTTGTGGTGGTCCATTGGCTCTTTGAGGCGCGCGCGGAACGCTACGCGCCATACGCTCGGGCCTGATTCTGGTCGGGCGGCGAGCTACCCTTATTCGCCTGCGCCTGTGCGTGGCCGGAGATCATCTCTAGATCCCCGACGCCCGGAATGTCGCCTACTGCGGCGGCTGGGGCGCAACAGCACCTCGGGCTGGAGCATGAGATGGAACAGGGTGGTTTTTAGCTAGTAAAAGTCTGACACCCCCTCTCGCGTCACCCAGAGACCCCTGAGGGCCTACAATGACGAGAGGTGTATAGCTCCCTCGCTCGGAAGACTTGCGCTTTAACACATCATGGTAGGCCCTCAGGTCGAACCACACGACCAGGCGAGAAAGGTCCATTGATGATTTCAACACAAAAAATGGTGGGTTTTCGCTTTTGCTATTTCGTATAAGTAAATATTTATTAAGTATCAAAAGGAAAACTAAATTACTTTACTTTCGTTTTAAGTAGGTACCTGTTAACATATCTATTATTCCGCAAGTTATGTGCCAAAATAGCGATTAATTTTAACTAATACAAACTTAATCTTGCGTTATGAAACAGGCAGATAAAATAAGTAAACACTTTTTATAATGGATGTTAGAATAAATTATTGAAGTATAATTAGAGATAATATAATTTGTCAGGAGGTACTCAAAGTATAAATTTAAAAAATATTTATAAAATTATATCAATTTATTTTTACTAAAACCTTAAAATTGATTGGATACTCATTCTCAAGTGTAAATAATTTTAGAAGTTTAAGATCTGTGGTCTTTTTAATAATCGTTCATGTTTTAATTATACATCAAGGTCTACTAGGTTTTATCTGCATAGCAAATACCGGTTTAATAATATTAGTATCGTAATACCGTGATAAATGATCTGACTGAGAACGTGTGTTGGCCCTGCTCTGATAACTTATCATGCGTCACATGAATCATCTCGGTACCTCCTCTGTAATTCTGTCGCCCTGGTAGATTTGTAGAGAACAGCAAAACTTTTGTGGAATAACGACACATCTCAAAATGATTCGCTTTGCAAGGAGTTCCTGACAGAGCGCTTTCGGACTGCTTACGCCTGATCAGCCCTTGCAAATATGGTCCTTCATAGTCGTACAACTCATTCTATATACGTTTACGTTATATATCCAACATCCGTTTTCCGATTTCTTTCTACAAATATTTGATTTCTGACCGCGCTATCTAGTATTTTTACAGATTTGTATCGGACAGTACAGAAGGGTTTCATTATTGCATTTTCATCACTTATTAGAGTTCTAATGCCAAAGTAGGTATCTACCTAATTTTATATTTTCTTATACTTATCTAATCCACCTAGCATCTAGTTAGGTAGTCACGTAGAAAAAACAACGCAACACCACTAAAGTTACGTGTTTCGTAACATCCTTCATGTCATACCCATGGCCTAATTTTCGCAAGGTAAGTGGAAAAAATACCTCATTTATGATGACAACAGCTGTCGAAACAACGTAGTAGTATACATATATTAAAAAGTAATTTTGTATATTCAAAACGTACTTACCTAGTTGGTATTTTACCTATATGGATGGATCACATCTGTATTGTATATTAGACGACAATATTGAAATCGAACATTTTATTACTGAAAACGGCATACTGAAATGAAATGAAGAATTCTTGACATTGACATTTAGCGCTACAATGGCAGGGAATCCCATTGCCATCAACAACCGCAACGTTATTAGTGTTTTTGATAAGAAACTGCGTTGCCGCTGGCTCTGCTAGTTTTATGTAGTCCTGTTATTTGTCTACCGTATAATTTTGTGCAATATTGAATGACATAGATAAAAACTCAATACAGAAACTGGAAGAAATACAAAATTGATATGGTTGGTCACATTGGCATGTTGGAATTATCTTTTTATTTATAAACCCTAGTTCCAATGATAGGATAAATAAATTTTAAATGCTCCTCAAAAGTAATGTTGCCTTATTATTTTGGTAGTGGACTGCAAAATTTTATACAGAAACGAATGACATTATTAGGCCGAGTCATGCATGACAACAACATGAAAAACAAATTTTTTAAAAGTATGATAGATAGATTGTTAGATCACAAGTACCGTAACAATCTATATCTAAGAAACCGTTATTTTTCATTTGTCTGTTACATATTTACCTATGCTAATTTCTGTGTGAGAAAAGCTAAAACAAAGTTTACTGAAAAAGAAACGTTAGTTGAGTAACTTTATATTATCTACAATTTCTTACGAGATTGAGGGCAATACTTTTATGGCAATCATTGTCTCTTGTCGACTTCTTCAGTATTTCTGAAGTCCTAGTACAATAAAAAAGAACTTTTAACTTTAGTGCAACAACGACACAACTCGAAAATTTACTTAGACCTGACCAACGTTCATAAAATTTTTGTGCTGTCCTAGGGAATTGGGGGAGGGAGAGAGGAAATGTCAAACTCTTACTGACTAATAAAACTACCCTGTTTCTTCTCCTGTTCCACAGAATTAACTATAATATTTTGTTTATAGTCTGATTTAACAAACGTGTTTTTTCAGTCATTGACAATTTTGTATGTTCAATGGGAGGAAATCAACTAAATAAAATAATTAAATAGATATAATACTAGGTATCTTGTTCCGCAAATACGATTGCTAATAAGATTTCCCAACCTAGGTGCAATTAGCCGAAGTCTAGCCAGTCAACTCATGTAAGTTACTATGTATGTGTAATTAATTACGAGGTAGCTAGCGACATTTTTTGCTGACTTTTGTAATATTGCTTGAGTGCCGGATAACACGACAACTATGTTCTTGAAATTAATAAACATACATATTGATGCCCGGATTGTTTTCTGATGGCTGTGTAGTTTGTTAGAATTATAGAATTAATTTTTCATGCTGTTAAGTCTTTGATGTAATTTTTCTGTCATAATTTTGAGAAAATTTGAAAATAAAATGCAAAAAAGTTTTCACAATGGATATACCAACTACCAGTAGCTATTGGATGTCTTTACACCTCGAAAGTTAAGTGAAAATAGTTTAGTTTTGATTGACTGATTTGGGTGAGTCACTATCACTGAGGTATATAGCAAGTGACTGTCGCTAGCTGGTAGTAACATAGACAATTAGAAAGTTCGTAACAAAAAAACAAAGCATTGGAAAAATACTGCTTCAACATAAGTAAATGTATATCCTATCTTATGCTTATAGCCAAAACTTGGTTTTATCCAAATGAAAGTTAGACACTTCGTCAATAGGAGTATGTTTCTATTTCTTCTAAGTTACATAAATATTATTTTGTTCATTCTCATTTTCAGAGATACCTGCGACATGTCCTTTATCGAGATAGCATTCCAAGCCGAAATAAGTCGATACGAAGATACAGAATTCGAAGAGTATGCAAAAAGGCATTGTAATGAAGATCCAGATACTAGGGGCAAAGTAATCGAGGAGCTGCGGCGATTGATACGCGGTAAGTGTAAAACTATAATACACCTCTTCTGAATTTATGTAATTCTAGTACATTTAACATTTTAACCGCTGTGTGTTAAAAAAGTAGTTTAGGTTTTCAACACCAAATTAAATTAAATTAGCTGCAGGTAATTTTTTTTAAATGTTTTTTCTAGTTTGTAATTGTAATTGTAATATACTAACTGTTGTCGTTACGTTACAGAGCATGTTGTGACACTTTAAAATGTTGTGCATTTGATTTTATTATTACTTAAGTTTTTAGATGTAAGTTTAAATGTAACAACTACTAGTTGTCCAAATAAATAAATAAATAAATAAATAAATAAGTAATCAAAACTCTCGACAAGTGATATTTGAGTTTAACACTTAAGCCAAGAGCTGAAGAACGAGCTCAATGGTTTGCTAATGAGTCGTGGTGACCAGGGGGTTGGCATGACCGCTTCTGATGCATGAGCATGTGGTTCGAACTAATGTGACTTTATCGAATTATATTATTGTGTACTTTCATGATTATTTAGCATTTTGACGCTGACATGCGATGAAGGAAAACATCGTGAGGACACCTGGACTTTAATTTCTAAAGTTTGAAATCGGCAATCTGCCTTGAACAAGCGTGGTAATTCATGCTCAAACCTTATCTGTGAGAGAAGAGGCCTTTGCTCAGTAGTGGGCACTATAGACTGTTGATCAAATATATCTTCAGTGTACGTTTAACATTATTAGACCGTTACTGGCAATAATGAGCCTATAAGCCACTACTACTGATGTTTAAGTCTGTGATTCGGTCGTCTCGGTTCTGTATGAAAAATGTATTCTACCTTTATGGTATGAAATCAAGCATAATTATGGTAGATTGAGCATGGCTAATTTCGATATAACCACGTGGTTATATCCTCTTTGAGCATAGCATATGTATATTGTGACATTGTCTTAGTTGATTCTGACTGATCTGTGCAGCCTTGGTGATTGTGATTCATGGTTTTCCATATTTCATTTCGATATGAATACGCTTCAGTCTTAAGTTATTCGGTGACCTGGCGTCTTGGGGCTGACATGATAATATAAATGACTATAACTTATTTTGAAAGGATTTTTAATTTCTTTGTCTAGTAAATTGAAAATCAAACTATACGACTACTTAGACGACTTACGACTACTTAGATACATTAATGTGCTTGCTATCTGTAATATAAAAAAACTGTTTGTTTCAGAGCGTGGGGAATGCAATCCCCGACGAATAGATGACGCCTATTTACTTCGGTTCCTTAGATGTCGACGGTCCATACCTGCGTTAGCGCATAAACTGGTAAGTTACTCCATACATGAAAACCCAAGACATTCTTGACCCAATGATATTTTTCTTTAGAATAATATCGTCTATAATACTTGTCTTGATCAAACTTAGGTTTGGATTTGGATTCGGTAGGTAAAAACACTGTGTAGGTAGGTATATTATGAATAGGCTTTTTTTTGGGAGGGGAAAATGCTTATTAATATCCTTACGAAGTTTCGATGTACACAGTCTAGTCTAAAGAGTAATACTATCGTTTGTTTTTTGTAATTTTTACTTGGTTATTTCAAAACCATAAGTAACCTTATTACTAAAAGCCTGCGGATTCTCTTTGTTCCCGCGTATAAACAAACGTCCCGTTCGCTGGGTCCGTCACAGGTAGGCAATTGTGCAAGTAAGCTACTAGGCGCACAGTAACAGCAGGTACCTTATAAGAGCAATGACCTTAGTAGAGCGATAAACTAGAACTGGTTTGTAAACTATTTGAAGGTTTTGAATTAACTGCATGTAATACGTAGCGACCTCAATGTATACCAGTACAACTATATAATCAAAGTTGTTAACAGAGACAAATTAATCTAGCTTAGTGTTCGTTGTTTCAAACAATAGCTATCTGTCTTTCTCTTATACGTAAATAAATATCGAAAATAAAGAGCAAGTTTCTTATTTATACTTCATCACGCTGTTACACGTCCAGGGCTTCACAGAATACCGGTGTGAAATTGTGTGTTTTCTTTTTGATATGTTAAATTAGGTACTACTTACGTTGTTTGTTGCCGTGTGAGTGAAGGGTTGATTCCCTAATCCTTAACCACCTACATGAGGTCGGCAACGGACTATACATATAGTGCAAACCCCTTTGGTCCTGCGAGTTTTCACGAGCGGCGCTGATTTCTTACTAGCAAGTGATCCATCAGCTCGTTTCCAACCTATCCTATAAGAAAAATCTCGTAATCGAAGCAATAACTTATCGGATAAAGCAATGTATTTACCAGGGGAACATGCGAAAGTTGGGATGTCACCGAATCGGTTTTCGTCGGAGATCGTGATACATTGACGTGGCTACCCTCATCACTGTTGAGAGAAACATCTGAGCTGACAGCCCGGTGATTATCTGCAGTACTTTGATGAAAAGCACGGGATCTATCGCTAACATTCCTTAGATGAGTAAAGTTTTAGCCAATTGTTGAAGATAGATTTTCCTATATCGACTTGATATACACAATAAGCTCCATACAAACATATTGTGTCATACACAATTCTTAAGCAAGCAAATATAGGTACTAATAGTTTGGTTATAAAACGCATCGTAAATAGCAATTTAATTTGTCTGTGACAGCAATGCATAAAGTACTTAGATAGTCAAATAGAATGAGCTGTTCCAAAATTAATTTATGAAATCCGGATTTCTGTGTAAAAAATAGTTTTTTATCTGTCTGGTTGTACCAAACCTGATGTAGGTAGAACTTTTTATGCCAAATGATAAAAAAATTGTCTATATAAAAAAAAACTGCAATTTATAATCTGATAGTTTCCGACTAGTCAAATTCAAATTTAATGAAATGTCAAATACGATTCTTTTCTATGTTCTTTTAATGTAATTACATTAAACGACGCCATAATATTTTTATTTCAAATAACACTCGCGTTCCTAAAAAAATAATCTACAATTAATAAATTAAAATTATGTATATCATCAAAACATCGATCACTAATAGTTCTTTATTAGTGATCGATGCATCAAAACAATGAATGAAAGCATGGTAACTTACTGTTTGATTATCTTGTATTGAAAAGTCAAAAAAAATTGTTATTGACGACCTAGAAAACAACCCTACTACGATTTTGAAGCAAAAGCTAACTTCAGTACTATTATATGTATAATATTTTAATAAAAAAAAGTCTCTTAAGTTTACCAGTCCAAAATTATAAAATCATAGACAATCACAAAAGCAAATGGCGACTTATTTACTAACATCAATCTTGCAGAGCAAGTGACGAATGTAATTTTCGTTTTATCACGGCTCAACAGTGCCTTTAATCTCAATGAAGGACTCTTGGACGCTTAGATAGGAAAGGCATCAACATGCTTATACTACTGCTATTCACAGTCCACTCACCTGTGTGAGCTTCCTTGACATCAAAACGTGTAACGCCTTTCACAGTCTTTAATGAACCCTAATCTTACTAACATATGCACTCGTGGAGTTATAGAATACCTAGATAACCTTGACTAGACTAGACTAGACTGAAGCGTTACGATATGTGTTAGTTTATTGTTTTTTTTTCTTTGTGCGATGACGGCAAGCGAGCCTGCGGATTATCTGTTAAATGCAATCAGCGCCGCCCATATAAGGGGATAAGGGTTTTGGAGATATAGGGATTTAGGGAGGGGAAAGATTTGGAGGGTCATGATTGATATATTGATATTCGTGTATTTTTTTTCTTTTTGATTGGTAATTTTTTATTGCAAAAACTAAGCAATCGATGTCGCTAATGTGTATATACCCTCAAAACCAAACGAGTGCCAGTATAAGGATGTTGTCGGCCTTTTGGGCTATTTAGCTTTATAATGGAATGTCATTACCGCTAATGATCTATTCATAAATCGTTTTTTCTTTCCTAATGCAGTAGGTAATCACGTAAGTAGGTAGTGGCCGTTAGTAAGTAATTAGAAAACCTCGAGAGTGCTAAAATAATTTGCCGCATAAACTTAAAAAAAAACTCTCCAATAATATATCTTCTTTTTTAGACAATAGGCTTTTTACAGTGCCAAAGTCTTAGTTCTTTACGAGAAAATCCAGATCTTTTTCGGTAGCCTTAAAGAAGCAAATCAAAGGCATTGGTCTGATTTACAACGTCCCATTTGTCGAGCTTTTGTAACATGTACGAGTATAAAATGGATCCGTTTCTATCCTGTAGGTACCAGAACTTTAGAAAGAACTTGATTGATAATTTGGTATTTCCTGTTATTTTTTCAATCAAACTGATCAATAAATTGCTTCGAATTCATTTAAATTTAAACATAAGCCATTCAAATTTCTATATTGACTCGTAGCTTCACAAAACTTAAAAATAAATGGTTGTTCCACTTATTTGATTTTAATGACCTCTATTGTTTTATTGTACTTACAAGATAAAGTCCATTTTTGGATCCTAAAAGAATTTTACAATGTTCCGACGGCGCCAAAAACAGTATCTAATAGTAAGGGAAATAGCGAGCTAAAAATATCAAAACTTTTCTATGATGATACCCTGGTACCTTTGTCGAGAGGAGCTAATATTATTTGGCAACTTGACATTTACGAAGTTGTTGTTTTTTAAAAATTATAAATAAATTAACATTTCTTGATCAGATGGTGCGCTACGAACAATTTCGTCGTGAGAACGCGTACTTATACGACTGCGATCCCTTCAACCTTGTGCTGGTGAAGGACGTCTACGCCGGCGTATTGCCAGAGAGCCCAGACCACGGACGGATCATTCTTATGAGGTTTGGTAAGATACTAAAAACATAGATTGAGAAATGTTTATAAGAAATACGAAAACATTATTTAAGTTCTTTCTACCTTCTACCCATTCCGTTGTAGATAAAAAAGTAGTTCAAAGTATTGAATATGGAAATTTTCATCCCCATCATATAGGTATAGATGTTTAGCAGTCAACAACTGTGTATTTGTAAATTGCCGGCAACGCCCCTGTGACTCCTCTGGTGTTACAGGTATCCATGGGCGGCGCTAAATCACTTACAATCACATGATCCGTCTGCACAATTTATTATTGTTAAACCAAAAAAAGCAACTACGAAAGCAAGTCTTTTCGAGCGCGTAGCATGACGCTACGCTACGCTACGATTAATTTGCATTGTTTTGATGTTTTAGCTTTCCTTTAAATATCTAAATAAGTACTTTATTCCTATTTCCAGGTCGATGGGACGTGGACGCAGCAGCCATAGAAGAAGTGGTCCGGTATGCGCTAGTAATGGATGAGATAGCCATAATGCAACCGAAACTGCAGATACTCGGAGTCACTATAGTGGTGGACCTAGACGGACTAAACTTGAGACAAGTGTCACAATTAACCCCAACAGTGGCTGGACAGATCGTTAGTCTTATGGGGGTAATAAAACTATTTCTAATACCTTCTCCCTTTTCATACAACCAGTGACATCTATCGATATATGAAAGATTTATATCAATTCGAGACCATACAAAGCGACGTAAAGACTTATAATACAAATCGCTAGATGTCACTGTTATCAACAAGATTTTGTTTTAATTTTGTTTTATTTTTTTTTTAATTTTTATTTCAGGTATCATTTCCCCTGCCTAATCACAATCTTCATATCATTAGATACAATTGGATACTACATTCCATATTTTATTTATTTAAGCAATTTATGCCAAGGGCTGTTTGGAACCGCATACATTTTCATGGAAATGACCTCAATTCCCTCCATAAACACATAGACCCCATGTACCTACCTCCGGAATTAGGTGGCAGATGTCGCCACGTAATATCTACTGAAAAATGGCTGTCCAAAATAAATGAATACAAAGACGATTTTCTAGTTCAAGAGCTCAAAGAATTAGGATTTAATGTAAAATGTAAAGAAACTAAGAAATCTCAGCATTTAAATAAATATATAATAAGTTAAATATTGTTGGTTGTTTTATTTATCTGGGTATGAGGATAAAAATAGCATTCACATTAATATTCAGTTATGATGTGGTCAAGTAAAAAACAGACAATTCATTCCATAGTACTATATTGTTTTAAAGTAAGTAGGTAGTTGGTAAGCAATCGCAAACAAAATTGTAGCGTGTAAATATATTAATTTTATTTGTTTTGGGTATTTGTTAATTTTATTGAATACTTATATTGCATTTTTTATATTATTCAGCAAAATGTTTCGATATACCAAGATACAGATAGTATAATGTATTATAATAAATAAATAAACGTTCATTGTGTAATCTAAGTTTTAAATGAGATCATTTTTATTTACATATAACTACATAATATACTCCGTTATAGTTTGCATACATTTATTACATAAGCAATTTACTTATTTTTTTCTAATAATACTGTTTTAAGATAATTATACTAGGAAGATAGAAAAATAAGGTAATGACTTTAAAACTGGAATAGACTTTACACTGATAAAAGCGATTTACAAAACTATGATGTTACTTCATCCGAATAATAGATGTCGCCGTCTACAATCTGTCTATTTCGCTATATGTATATAATTTTCATTAAATTAATTGTTTACTGTATGAACATATATTGTACACATATTGTTATTTACATGATAAAGCAGTATGACAATTTACAATCCTATATCGCTGTACACTCGTCGATGGTTAATCCGTTGTAATTCCTTCTCTACCTCAGCTAATACTGTAGAATCAATGTCATGTATATCGACGACCGCCTGCGACTTATGATCGCCTGGTAACATGGCTACAACTTCATCGTCTGTAACGGTATTCGACACGACGTCAGCGACTTCTTTGTCTACATTATCGAAATATTCGAACGCTTCTTGATAGTTGTAATTGTCGTTGTAAATCCTTGGTCCATTTTTCATGTGGGCGGGCATAGTTTTGGTTCCGTGTATCGTTAAACCCACAGGACCTACGTGACCGGCATTTTTTTCATCGGTCTGCAATAAAATTAAAACATATGAGAAGTCCCGTTAATCTGATAAATAATTGAAATTCATAAAACTTTAAACTTACATTATCAACAACTATGACTTTCCAAACACCTTTAGGATTTTCGCCCCAAGTGGCTACAGACATAAGGGGCCAATTTACAAAACCAGTTGTAGATGTGTCCTTGCGACGAGGGCTAAGTAGTTGAACTTGCGTGCCTAAACAGAACAATATTATTCGTCTAATCGCAATAATAGTGTACAAAATGTGTTTAAAAATGAGTGAAAGTAGTTTTTTAACAGATTCAAGATTTAACAAAATGGTTATAAGGTAGGCTGAGAACCGTACTCATTTAGGACCGTTCTTTCGTTCAGACAAGATTCAGACGGCTTTGTGACTTCAGTTTTTAGGTAAAAGTAAAATAGAAGCTGAAATACTAGGGAAGCATGAATACTAAACGTCTTACCTTGGGGTGAAACTAAATAAATCTCCAATGCTCCCCGGCGAGAATATTTCACATTTATTGACACCTCGACATGTTCAACGAAATTGACTAAACAATCATTTTCTACTGATATCGGGACTTCAACATGATGCCCAGACCACAAACGAGTATTTTCTTCTTCAATCCTGTAAACATTATTTAATTTGGACGTCAGTCAAATAACATAATCACGGTCATAGAAATTATTTATTAATGTTGGAGGAGTAATAAGACATACTTACGGTGCAGAATTTACCCGGCACACATAATCTCTTGGTACAGTCGTCCAGTTTAGTGCCATTTTCACGAGTGCACCAGCATTTAAAAGTCCAAAACCAAATCGAACGTCAAAATAAAGCCCTGCACTAAAAATTACGAAATTATTTCATTTTTTGCATCCATCACTACCAAGCACACTCTCGAAAATTAATGTTTTGAAATATCAGTGTAGATTATTTTTTACCCATTTATTTGCCACCCAGGATTGGCTGAAAGTGGAGCGTATTCTGAGGTCCAAACTATTAAATGTTGTACATCCCGCCATGTCAAATTTTGACTGAAAAGGCATGAAAATTCGTATAAGTATCATTAATTCATTATTAATTCTTTAGCTTCTATCAGCTTTTAAACTTATTCATAAATAAGGTACAAGTAATACCGTACGTAATTGGGTGCAATCATAGTATTTTCTTTAAAATAGTTTATTAGTCATCCAAAATAATACATATTATAAATGCGAAAGTAAATCAGCCTGTCTGTCTTTTCTTCACGCCTAAACTACTGAACCTATTTGTTAAAGACATAGTTTGGAACTCGAGAAAGGACACAGGATAATTTTTAGACCAAAAATCCGCAGGAAGTCACTACTCGTCGAACAAATTCACAGGCAAAAGCTAGTAGATCATAAATTGAGGTAGTAACAAACAAAATAAGAAGTCGCTTCGGCAATCGAGTAAAATGGCAAACGATGGCGAACGACGAAGGACATCTGGCGGTCCAAAAAAGCGACATAGGACTTCATTTACGCTATAAAACTACTTCATGTTTGAAGTTCACAAAACCTTTCTGCATATTGACAATATTCACTTCACTATGTGATAAGATGATAAGTATACATATTTGTATCGAAATTCCAAACCCCCTTTTATTTCTGTTGTAGCAATATCACGATTCTAGTGTGGCTCATGCCGATGTGTCATTTTCTTTGTCACCATTTTATGGTGACAGACCGTACCCACGTAGATACCAGAGCCACATAACAATACAAGCCATTACGGGTGGGCAAGTAGGGTCAACTAACTTTGCACTTAGAGCGAGAGCGATGATGCCAGCAGCCAATGGGGCAGCGGCAGACGTTCCAGTATGTCCCAGCGTACAGGAATCACCGGTGTCTGTCGTAGCCTAAAAGAGACAGCAATATATCAATGTCCTTTTTTCGCCTTACCATTGTAAATATTGCAATACAAGATTTTATGAATGAACGTCACTAGAATGAATCAGTCTATGACAGCGACGCGCACAAGTGAACTTACTATTTTTTGATCTTTGTAGGCACCAGAGGAGTATGCGGCAGCAAGCGTAGACGAACAAATCTCCCCGTACCAAGGAAACAGACCATGCTGAGAAGCACTTCCTATTGATATTGTGTAAATGCTAGAGGAGTATCTGGAAATTATTCTTTTTTTTAATTATCCGATTAAATAACGAATTAAGTTTAATAGTATCAAAAAGTAATTTACCCATCACAGTTACAATTGTCTCCGTGACCACCGCCATTGCCATTTGCCCAAACATAAATGGCACCTTTTCCACCACGACCCTGCGATAAAGATTATACCGCTTTACCTACCTACTAGGCTAAGCTTAAAAACATTCAAGTTTCACAGCTGTTACTCAGATTATACTACCTTAATACAAATCAAGTTACTGGTAGGATATTATTTTAACTTCTTGAAAATTTTTCGTTCTCACCTCAGTGACACCACGTTTGAACGCCTCGTTAGCTAGGCGCCCTGGTCCCTCCACAGTTCGACCATCATCATTAGGACCCCAAGAAGCACTGTATATGTCCACTTTGTCTAACGCGTATCCTGAAACAAATACGGCCAATACTATAAGGTAGGAAAGTACAATACTCGTAGAGTAACAATTTCGTTTTACTCGAGCAACATTACGTAGGTATATTTAAATACCTTTACTCCTTAGACTGTGTGTATTAAGATAAGCATGTTTGTCATAAAAAATAAAACACCTTTGTCCATAGTTTGGGCCCAAAATGTAATGGAAAATGATGGCAAATCCTCTTTCCATTGGCGCGTATTTTTTTTCGTTACTCATTTTAATCTCTTTTCGTTGCTCGCGCCCTGGTAATCGTGGTCACCGGCAACATGTGGCCGCCTAACCATGCGATATTGAAACGACGATATCCAAACCACGATAGCCTAATCAACTAAAAAACTAACCACTTCATCGGTTGGTAATTAAATTAAATTAGCTTTGCTATAGGTACTCGTTTATACAATTTACATTAAACTATCTACCGTCTAGGTACCGTTTTAAATCTAAAAACATAAATGTAATTTAAACTCTCTTAAGATTTCATAGTGCCCTAGTAATTTATTAACGCGTTTCACTTGTTTTCATTACAAAGGATGGATCCATCACAGTATACAAACTGACACATCCTAATCACATCCTAATCCTATAAATAATGTTTATTGTGAACCCGTCGTGCAACAGCTTATATTTATTCATTGTACGCTTCCTTATTTTATTTAATTATATAAATTTTGGCATTGTATCATTAAGATATAAAATTTGAAATTTCTTATTATTTTGTATTTAAATCAATGTGAATACAAAGATTTTATCGTTCCAAATCATAGATTAGAAGGACAGTCATAATACATAGGCTTTGGTATTATACAGACAATAGTAACTAAGTATTTATATGTAAGTAGTGTTTGATTCATAGTATATCTAAATGAGTAGTCCGTCAGTCAATAAAGTGAATCAAAAAGAAAGAGAAGAAAGAAAACAATGTCTTTTGTGTATGTAGGTACTCTTGACTTGGTGTACAAACTACAAACAAATACCTAAAGATATGTTTTTTTATTCATCAACAATAGGGATGGACGGTTACGTCACAGTACACCCAACTCACTAAGGAACCATAAAATACAAAGAGTAGACAGCTACATTCATAATTTTATTTAGGTTGTTTCGACGCATGCAATACACAACATTACACCTATTCCGAGAAATACCTTCCCTGTCCCCGCTCACTTCAGGTTACTTAATTAAACATTTTGGAATCCTAATTTGTTATTATTAGGTTATAATCACAGGTATATTATACTGGTATACTTTACTTTATACTTACAAATAATACAACTAAATAAGATGGAAAGTTAACTAATAGTTATACTTGTTTTTTTTGAGAATAATACCTATGTAGATAAATTGCACCAATTAAACATATTTTTGTCAGTATCGCTTAATATCTGGCTATACACACAGAAATATAGCAACACATACATAACATGGTAATGTAATTAATGCATTTAACATTAAATTGCTTTGCTTCATAAAAAAAAGCTTACGTACGACGTTTTACCTCAACATGGCGACCGAATGTACCAGGAGTTCATAAATTGTAACAGATGTACAGTCAACTCACCTATCGCTTCTCCCTCTATCCGGTCTGTAATTCGTCCATCGAGCATTCTAACTCCACCTACTTTCGCTCCCCATGCCACGCCCACACCACACTTCAAGTTGTTTGCGGTCATGGCTATCTGAGAAGCGGCAAGAATAATAAATACAATGTTTTAAAGTATTATTATGTGAATTAACACGGAACATGAAAGAAAATAGTTTCTTACTTCTCCTGCACAACGAGTGCCATGCGAATTCAACTTGATATCTTCATATCTTGGTGAGGGATCTGCATCATCGTCATTGCTATCCCAACTGATATCTGGATCCTATGCAAAGAAACGTTTACATTAGGTTTGTTCTGTCGTATTAGAATGTACCTACAATACATAGCATTGGTTGTTATAATATGTTATATGCAATATAAAAAAGAATAAGAACTAGGTACATTATTTGTAGAAAAGCAATGATGTATAAAACTATAGATACGTTGTCCGCGCTCTAAAATGACAACATGAAATGAAGGCAATTGACAACATCGCGCTTAGTTACGCACCAACCTGCCGCGCGACGCTACGTTTGTTTTTAATTTATATCGTGTGTAAACCTGTGCGAAACACAAAGAAAGCATGTCGTCGTGTGTGTTCAGACGATGTACAAATTATACTCCAAAAGTTAAAGACAAAAATGTGTCATTTCATGCGTAAGTTCACCAAACAACCTATTTTTATTTTATTTTTTTCGACGCCGGCGCCCGCCATCTTATGGCAGCCGGCGCATGAAGGTATAGTCACGTGCCGTCGGCATAACTGAAGATGTATATTTATCTCCCTCTAGCAAAGGCATTCCACTATACGATGTCATATTTTCTTTCCCTTTATTTACTCATAGAAGTAGTTATCTAGTATTTTCGCCGTTTTTAAGCGCCGCGATGTTGGTTCATGACGTGTCTATATATAATACGTCATTGTAGAAAAGGCAAACATTACTTTTTCAGTTGGTTTATCTTTACCTATACCAAAAACTAACATTGCAGTGTTGTTTTAGAACACAAAGTTATTTTAAGCTTGTAAAATAAGTCTCTTCAGTCAAATAAGTAAGTGACTTCACAATACGCATATCAACAACACCGGCTACGACACGGCGCTAACCTAGATGACTAGGTACGTACCTATATTGGGAGAAATAGCGAAAATTTAATTACCTACCTACATCTTACTAAAATAATGCATTTTAAGAGAAAAAGATAGTTGTAGTGGAGATTAGGTAGAAGACATTTCGACGAAAGACATTTTTCGTATGTTCTCTACACCAAGTACCAACCAAGTAGGTAGGAGTACCTACCTAAAGCTAGGTACAAATTCATTTTTTTTCTTTACAATTCTTAGAGGCTTGTTTGATGGTCTTGGTCGAAACTCTTACAGTTGTAGTAACTCAGATTATAATATTTCACAGGTAAAGTAGGTAGGTACTTTACTACTTATTATAATTTGTAAATAAGTGTGTGTATCTATCTATCTAGGTAATGATTTTACATTTTACATAGAAGATATACCTACCTAAATACATACCTACATTTTCGCGAAAAATAGTTTACTTTTTAGTTAGGTATGAATGCGTAAATAAACCACGGTATTATTTAGTTAACCCAGTAAGTAATTTTTTTATCGGTAATGAACTAGGTATCGTATGTCCAAAATAAATATCGTTGAATTTTGTTTCATAGAAATGTTAATGTCAGTTTGAGAGTCTGTCTTGAGAGTTTGTTGGGTGGGCCATATTACACGCCTGTCGCGTCATATCGGCCGCGAACTTACCAGGGCGCAATGAGCGGAGAGAGGTTTCATTCGCTACGTAAAGTGACGTCAATTTTATCGATGTGTATGTATTATTTATTCTTTACCTAACCAAATAAATGGAAAATGGAGATATGAACAAGAATAATTATGCATATGATCGATTTATTATTTTTGCTATTTTTCGGTTTTTTTTATATTGTAGTAGGTAGGTATTATTATGTCCAATAAACCAATGTAGTAACATAAAATTTACTCGATATTAAACAATAACAAAAGTAAACGATGATTTAATTCAAAAGTAATATATAAAATGAATTTAATACATTTTACTAATACAATATTATATAAATCTATGTGAGTACTTTACATACTTTACATGGACATACATCCATCTATCTGTCCAAAGGCAAACAAAAAAAACCAACATGCTTTTTTCGAGATGTGCCCTTTTAGCACGAAAATTTCAAAGTAAACTTAACTAAGTACCAAGACTACAGAGCGGACATAGAGGTAACATCTTTATACTGTATTAGGTTGTCTGTGATTGGTCGGTAGTTGTGGCTGTAACGTGCAATATTAACACAGTTATGGTGGCTATGTCCAGTAAATAAATTCCTCAAACCAGCCAATGAGCCAACCAACTGGAATGACAGATAGAGGCTGGTGGTGTGCTAAAACTGCTAAGCCAACTGACATTAGACACTGACATGAAATTATTTATTTTTGTTTAGCGAAATGTTGATCCAGAAAATTTTGATCACACTTCTTCTTAGTATCAAGGCATCATAAATAGGAAGGAGGTTGGTTGATTTTTCTTCCTACACGTCGTATATATACATACTATCTGTGTATAAGAATAGTATTACGACGACTACCTTTACGTAGGCAGGTATTCCGATCGAAGTTTTTCGGTTTGGCATCTTCATTCCACTGTTCCACTGGTTCGGGCCAGCTAGCCGCAATTCTCGCAGCCGCAATTTGCTCTTCATCGCAGTTGCGTCTTTTTACCACGGAAAATTTCGATATGTCTTTTACGTAGTACCAGGGTATCAGAATGCGTGCAGAGTCATTTATATTGTTGAATTACCTCTCAGTCAAGAGAAGATTTCGACTAAGTAGTATTTGACGAGTGTGTTGAAAAAAATATCAAGTAGGTAGGTACTTTGCTTGTTATAGTTTAAAACAATAACATAATATTTTACACGAACGTTTTATTAATGTCGCTCGATACGAAATATTCAATTGAAAGTAAAAAAGTACCAATTACTACATCAGTAACGCCATCTGTTATTCAGGATAAGGAATTAAATCTCAGTGAACTTATGTTTCATTTTAGTGCAGAAAATTTTCACCATTCACCTCAGTTGTACTAGGAAAGCATAACACTTACGTAGTTCGCTCGTAAGTCTGTGTGATTGTGTTCTATGCCGTCATCGAGTACGGATACACGCACACCATTGCCATTATACCCCATTTCATACACGGGCAGGACGTTGAGATCGAGCCGGGGCAAATTGTGTAATGTACGCGTGTCTTGCTGAAAACCATAAACATAATAAAATTAGAACTTTAGCCATAGCGACATTATAAGTATTTAAATTCTTATTTTAGGCAATTGGTATAGGTAAGTATCTACTTATTTGTTATTATACAGTTTTACATCACAACTGCAACTACTAAACAAAATGTTGTTCATTAGGTTGCGTAGCAGGTGGCTGCCTTTTAGTAGATACCTCCTCAATAATAAAAAATAATAAAAATAATAAGCACTTTGTGAGACGACAGCTTCTTAGCTATCGGGGTGGCGGGGTAAGCGCAATGAGGCACCGCAAACTCGGCCCAGAGCGGGAGAAGGAACAAGAGGGTTTTTAGTCAGTAAGAGTCTGACACTCCCTCCCGCCCGGCCCTGGGTGGGAGAAGTCATTTATTATTATTATTTATTATTATACTTGAACACACTAGCAGCTTATAAAGCTGATGCGTGCGTATTAATGGATTTGGAAATTTTGTCGAGGATGTTTTTAAAGGAATTAACTGTGGGTGCTTTTATCACATTTTCTGGGAGTTTATTCCATTCCGTGACCACCCTATTAGGTAGGAAGTGTGTCAAGGGATTCAGTTTTGAGGATGTTCTGCATAGTTTTAATGAGTGTCCTCTCAAATTTCGTTTTTTTTTAAGAAGATACATATTCTTAAGTCCAGGAACGTTGTAGCAGTCACTCATTATTTTGTAAGTCTCAATAAGGTTTCCTCTCTGTCTCCGCTTTTCAAGAGTGGTAAGGCCAAGTTCGTGCAGACGTTGGTCATAGGGTTTGTTGATATTCCCCTCACAAAAAAAAAGCTTCTTAGCTATCCTTGGATGAAAACAACAAACTACAACACTATTGTATACATACTCGTAGGAATGGATGATTGTACACTTACTCGATGAAATAAGCATTTCATGATTTTTACTGTCTACTATTGGCAAAAAAAAAGTATAATGTGGTTTATTTCATAATAATAATTTCACGAGAATTGGTTCATGGAATATCTTATAAAAATATATTAAAATATCTTATCTTAAAATAGTTTAATTAATTAACCGGTGGAGGCGCTGCCAGCGCTGGTGATATAACCCAGATGAAATGTAGCCCACGTGGTGTCTTTGTTTATTTGGGAATTCTCCAAGGTACTTTTTTCTAAATAATATTTCTACTAACCTTCAACGTTATAATTATTTACCATTCCACTGCCGTGGAATAACCTTATTTATACAAATCGGCGAATCGTAAGTGACAAAATCTGACCAAATTGCCCTTACCTGTCACCATGAGATATGTACGGCCATTTTATAAACTGAGTAGCACTAGGTAATTAAAGTAATTATGTATTATTAATAACATTACTCACCAAATACCATTCATGGCTCCACAATTCATCATTGAACCAAGTTTTACCACGATGACCCTCATTTATTTCTTTCAAATTTTCTGATTCTTCTAGTCTCTTAACCCTTTGCAATGGCTCGTCTGGGTCCGGCATGGCGTAGCGCTTGACCCTAGACTTCGAAAACAATTGTTCAGCCCACCTGACCTAAAACACAACATAAGAAATATACTTAGTACTTTTCAGAATAAGATTTTTGTTTAGGCTTCTCTTCCTTATGGTCTTTTAAGATAGTATGTATTGTAATTTGTAATACTATTCGTCTAGGTAGAAAAGTATGTATACGTTTTGTTCTACCGAGTTTTATTAGCTTAGGTAATATTTCTTCAGACATTCCTACAAACCTACGCTACCGTTTACAAATATTTTTTGTGAACCAGAAATTACAGTCAGTTATTGTGACCTCGGTACCTACACACAAACAACCCATGAATATACACAAGGATAAAACGAACAAATGGCACGATGGCACCCGTGCCGTCGTACACGCAAAAACCTTGTCCTACTTTATGGTACGTTAAATATAGCGGCTTTTGAAACAGCCACGTGTAAACCGAGTTCAAAGTTACCAGGCGCACAGATATAACAGAAGGTGTCATCTT